GGGCACGGTGTGATACTCATGCTGCCTGAGCCATATAATTTGTTATCTGGGTACGTCTCTCTGACAGTTTTCTAAGATGTCTGAGTGATTTGAAGACGTCTTTCAGACGATCATAAGACATAATGATGCATGGGAGTTCCAGAACACGTTTGAGTGATTTTGAGATGTTTTTCAGACGATCATAAAACGATATAAAGTCGTGTCGGTTCAATACCATTTCACAAAGATCAGCTCTGATTGCTTTTAATATAAGAATATTTTTCGTCTTCGCGTCTAACTCCGCGAAACTTTCCGTTTGTATCACTTCCTCTATATTTCTCAAAAGAATCGAAAAGCAGAATTCTTCTAGCCTCTAAAACATAAAACAATGTGTCAACATATAAATAAAAAATTTACATGTAGTATATTGCTATTAAATGTTAATATTTAAAACATTGTGAATTGCTAAAATTACCTTTTCATTACATTCAATCGCTTTTTTATAAAAAAAAGCTACATTTGATATAGTAACTCTTCTTCGTATCAGCGAAATGGAATCTGTTTTCAAATTTATTTCATCGTACATATCAGCTAATTGTAAGAGTTCTACAATAAGACGATCTTTAGTGACAAAATATAAATATAATGTACTTAATAGCGTACTCAAACTTACCTAATAATTCTTCCGAAGGTATATCAATCATTTCCGTATACAAGTATTTCAAGTATGCTTTATAAACGTTGTACGAGAACATATTGAGATTCAAGACACTTATGAAATATATCAAAGTATAAAAAAAATTAGTTTCAGTTTTTAATACTAGTTTTGTCGTAAGTACTTACTCCTCAGTATTTTCTTGCCAATTGTTTTGAAACATGGTTCTAAAATGTGAACTGCGAATCTTTAGGATAGCCTTATGAACATGAATATCTCGTCCTTCCACTTGTACTTTGAAATCACTCGTTGACTGTATCACATATGGAAGAAGCAAAAAATCATTAGAAAAATGCATATAATGTTGGGCTGATAAAAAAGATCTTTCGAATTTTTGTCTTTTATTTTTACTGAAAGATCCAAAGAAATTTTTTAATCAACCCAATATTAAATTATAGATAACTTAAGATAATTTTATAATTTTTGTTGCATTTCATTTAAATACAAATACGCTAAAATTACAAAATTATTCATGCTAATTAAAGTAATGATTACCAATTTCAATATAATTTTTGTAATATAAAAACAAATTTTCTAATTTATAACAAAAAGATATGTATTAATAACATTGCAAAAAATTCGAGAATTAATTTAATAAATAAAAATGTTATTATATATGTATATAATGTATAAATAAATCTATTTATAAGCATACTGATAATAATAATTATATACATATACGATTAATTGACAAAAGTATAAAATATCATATTTGCTTGTTTTAATTGCACTTTTTGCTTAATTTTTCTTTTTTTCTTAACACTTAGATATAAATCAACTTCCTTTTCAATTTTGGAAACAGAAGAAAGTGCATGCAAAAATAACAAATATAAAAAAAACATACAGGATCGTCAAAAGCATCTCTCAGACATCTTATTATATTCGATTCTTTGTTCGCATATTCATGGTCATCTGCTGACAAGATCAGTGGTTTGTACATGACATTTTCAGATGCGAATATATACATCGTACATGTTTGTATGCAAGGTGACACGCGGCGTCAGAATTTCGCAATTAGTGTACTGACCCCAAACATAAAAACATCCAGTTTCGTTAACGGCCACACTTATATTTTTCATGTTTAAAGCCGCAATGTCTGACAACTTTCCCAGTTTAGATGTATTCAACTGTTCACATAAAATTTACGATTTTTATAATTCTGATTTACTTTTTTTTATTTTTTATTTTATATCATAATTATTAGATTAATAAATAACGTACCAAAAGAGGCTTACAAATATCTTCTCTGTCGCCAGTGCCTAGTTGTCCATGATTGTTTTTACCCCACACATAAAGATTTCCTTGATTGGTGAGTGCTAGCACATGTTTAAATTCACAGGCTACCTTAACTGTGACGTCCATTTGTTTAACAACTTTTTCATTATTATTGAATTCTTAAATTAATTAATAACAAAATTTAAGAAGAGACAAATACCTATTGTTGCCAAGATAGGAATTCTTTGTATGCAATAGTCACTCGAATGTTGCTGTTTTGATATATTGTCTGTGAACAATGAACCCCAACTGTATACTTTGCCATTATCTGTGACCACTATACTGTATGACATGCTACAAGCAATGCAGACAATTTTCTTGTTCTCTAATTGGGAATTTACTTGTTTTGGTATTTGCTTTTCAATGATGAGATTACCAGTCAAATCAAAGATGTCCATTCCCCAAGCGTATACCTGAATCAAAGAAATGTCTCACTTGTAATAATATCATTACAATAATATCATTGTCACATCTCAACAATTACTTACTATTCCATTAGCAGTCAAAGTAAGAATATGTTTTTTACCACACACAATGTCCACAATGCATAGACATAGGAATATAGGGACCGAGCATATCGTTGCGGGGGGGTAGCTACTGCGGGATGGTGCGACGAGGTAAAGTGTGCCTAAATTTGATTGGCTATTAGTTTGCGCAAGCGCGATGTAAGTATCGTGTGACTTCCAGTGTGCATGGACATAGGAATATATAGCGTTTTCGAATAAACGGGGTTTGAACGATCTAGGGTTGATCAATCACTATTTTACTATAAATGCAAGTCTTTCATTGGTGGAGAGGTTGCAATGACGTCATTAACCAATCTTGGGTCGTTCAAATCCTGTATAATCGAAAACGCTAATAGGGTCGGAGTGTAACGTCGCGAGAGGAAAAATCACTGAAGGAAGGGGACGAGGTAAACTGTGCACATTTTTGATTGGCTACTATTTGACGCAAGTGCAATTGGCCATTATTCGACGCAAAAATATTATGCAATTTGGGCAGATATAATGAGCATTTGAAGTTATATCAAGAAAAAACATTAATTAAAATTGTTATTTTAAATATATTTTGTGAATATAAAAAATGGTGCAGTGTTTTGTACAGTCTTGTAAAAATAGATCCGACTATCAAAATTGGAAACAAAGTAATAGCAGAAATAATGTAAAAATAACATTTCACAGGTATTGAAATTATTTATTTATATTAAAGTTAATATTATATGTTTAAAATAATATTATATATTTTATTTTAAGAGTATAAGAGAGAGAGAGTAGTTTTTTGTTAAAAATATTTGTTTTTTTTCTTAGTTTTCCCAAAGATCCTAAAACTCGTACATTGTGGTTAGATATTTTGGAAATAAATTCATCATCTATCCCAAGTACAGCTCGTATTTGCTCTGTCCACTTTGAAGAGAAATTCTTTGACAGAACATGTTTGATAACTCGACTTAGACGAAATGCATTACCTAAGGTACGTTCCACTTGGCGATCGCAACGCTTGTGGAATCTTTGTCTTTGTTTTCATCGAAAGTTAAAAAAAGATAGATAATGTTCACGAGCGTTGCGATCACCAAGTGGAACTCAGCCCTAGTGTA